AAAACGGGCCCGTTTTCATGAAAAACAGGCTGTTTTTTGCTTGTTTTTGCCCCCCAGGAGCACTCTGCAAGCCCCTCCTCCAGGCTATTCATGCCTATTTTTTTGGGAAAAAAATTGGGCCATTTTTGGTGGAAAATGGGCTGTTTTGGGGAGGATTGCAAAGTGCAAAAACTTTTTTTCCCCCTTTGAAAAGCTCTTTAACTGATTGATGAGAATTACATTGGTCAAGTGCTGTGCCAGCAGAAACAAAGTCTTATGTGCTGCAGATTGTCAGCAATTTCCTTCTCCAGCACATGGATAAATACACCTGGAAACATCTACCTACCTACCTACTCTCTCTCTCCCCACCTACCTACTGTATTTCTCGCTCTCTCTCTCTATCCCTTTATTTACCTACCTACCTAACTAACTACTATCTCTCTCTCCCTGCCTACCTATTGTATTTCTCTCTTTTTTTCTCCCTCTCTATTCCTCTACCTACCAACTTTAAAAAAAAATTGCCTCTTCAAAACCTTGGTGCGTCTTATACTCCAGTGCATCTTATACTACAAAAATACAGTAACTTTTATAGACTGGAGATTAAATAAATGAATCTTTCCCTGTTGCTTTTAAAAAGGGACAATATATGTTTCACTTGCTTTTAATTCTAGGGAATGTCTCATTACTTCATATGCAGTAGTGGACTAAATCAGATTGATTAAGACCAACCAATAAGCATTTGTGTTCAGGTTGCCTTCTGTCTCCCTTCTGTCTCTTATCAAACAATTTATCTGAAATTCCTTTGATTATTTGGAATAAGGTCAATTTCTGTCCAAGGCTACCCCATTATTGTGATATTTGGAACTGTGTAAGAGATGCCTACAGTATTTTTACTATATCGCTAATATTTGAGATCTGTCAATACTTTTAAGAAATGTAGACTGTGTGGCAAAAGAGCCAATTGAAAATATTGTTTTTCAACACTAGAAAATGAAATCTACAGCTGATTTGCAGAAAAGGAGTATTAATATGTGCTGCTATAAGTAAATCCCACTATATTTCTGACTAAACATTA